CCGTTGGACTCATCTTCGCCTCTAGTCGGTGCCAAAATCAGTGAAGAACAAAAGTCTCTACCGTTCCCAAACATTTTCGCCAACACCGAAAACTGTCGAACATTGCTCTGAACTTCCACTGTAGCGAAACCACCCCCACAATCCTGTCCTCATTCGGTGGCGTCGAACCATGTAAGTGGTGATTAATTCATCCCAACTGGAGATTAATTCATCCCAACTGGAGATTGAGTTTACTTATTAACTTTTGTCATACGTAAGCGGAGATTAATTCATCCTAGCTCGCGTTTGTCATATGTAAATGGGGATAAAATCCCCCCGGTTGGTGTTTGTATTTTATTCATTATTTTAGTAATTAATATTTCACATAATTAGAGCTTCTATTTGACATTCGATTGATTGTTTGTAGAATGGCACGAAAGAATTATGGAAATATGAATTACTCAAGTCGAAGATGTATCCCGCATGATCCAATCGCAAGCTTGTCTAACTGACAAAGAAGAGCTCCATATTTCTGTCAACATGACCATCTGAAGGGGAAAAGGTACCGCGGAAGAGATGCAAAAGGGAAGTGGCTTGCTTGAGTTGTAATTATTGCTTGTGCAGTGATTGATCTACTATGGCTGTGTCTCATTTTACTTTCGTTGTTTGTAAACTACGTGAATCAATGCAATGAAGGACTTATTTTTTGACGTTCTCCTCCTAATTTTAATGGTATTTGTATCTATTAATCAAAATTGTTGCAATGCACTGTGACTGCAGAACACCTGTGCCTTCTTATTCAGTTGACTCATTTTATCTGCAGCAATCTTCATGTACAAACATCACATAGAATAGTCCTCAAAAAGTATGGCAAGATGACTTAATTCTTGGAGATATAAGGAAGCCTTTGTGAACCACATTATGTACACCTAACATTATTCTTGTTTGAAAAAATTTTATATTTATTCACTATTGGTCCCTAATTTATTGCTTGAGAAACAAGTTAACCTTGAGCCTATTAAAATTTATAAGTCAGTCTTCCTTATTATTATAGCAACATGATTCTTTCT